ACGTTAATCCCAATCGGCTGCTATACTTCTCGTTGGCTAAGAGTTTAATTGACTGCATAGATCTTGCTTGTTAAACCTTTCTTATATGTTGCCATTTCCTTTTGAGCGGCATATTTTTACGTTCAAAGAACAACCCATGTGATGAGAGGAATTTTTCTTTACAAAACGTTTACAAGACGGGCACTTCCGTTTGGATTCATACCATAAGAAACAAAAGCTTCGCCATCCTTTCATGGCCGACGAAGTATTGCCGAAGTCTCTGCTCCCGCCTGTCTCGCCTATCTGCACTAATCGTTTCGCCGAAGTGATCAGTGTTTCGTGCTGATCCAGGGAGTGAGACTTCTTGAAGTGAAGTAGTGTGTGTTTAGCAGCTGTCGCAGGTGTGAATGATTGGAAGCGACGCGTGGTTTTTCGCTTTCATAGAGCGGTTTTTTCGGTTTCCTCTTTGCTTGCTTGACGTGCTCTTTTAGTTTTTTTTTGTTTTTTTTTTTTTTTCTGCTTGCTTGCGCGTGCAATTGCCGACTTTCCGGAGATTTCACATGAGTGATCCCGAGAGCGAGCCTTCCAGCGGCCATTTCGCCCCGGAAAGGAATGCCATTTGGCTGGAGGCAATCGGGCGGTCGCGTAGCGACAAACGTGTCCAGTTAGGTTCTCGTAATATCTCTCCGGAGGCCGTCGAGATTCGCACCGGGTGCACCTAACGCCCGCGACTAGGCACACAAAATAAAAAAGCACTATGTTGACTACGTATAAAATGGTCTCAGTTCATGCACCTATGGGCAGGTAGGAAATCTTGCCCAAATTTATTCACACCGCACGATGAGCGCAACACGTCGCTGTGTAAACGCAGTTCAAAAACACGAAGCATAAAAACTGCAGATCTAGGACAACAATTCGCAGTCCATTGTTATATTAAAACGACGTAATTTTGTTGAAAACGCCCACAGCTTTTGACTCAGGGTATGCGTCGGAAATCTTCCACATTTTAAAATAGAAGGAAGGAAGATTTACTTTTAAAAACGCTCGCTGCATCCTCCCGGACCAGTTTGACTGGATCAGCTGACGACGACGGGACTGAACCCGTTGAACCTCGATTACGTGTTAACACATCCATCGAGCCAGTACATCCACCGAGCCATTACATCCATTGATTGATGTAATGGCTCGGTGGATGTACCAGCTCGTTGGATGTGTTGACACGTGCATGGATGCAGCTGCTCAATGGATGTAGTTACTCATTGGATGTAGTTGCTCGATGGACGTAGTTGCTCGATGGATGTAATTGATCACCCTTCCTGTTACGACGCCTAGCGTGCCACTACATCCATCGTGCTAGTACATTCATAGAAGGCAAGATGGCCGCCATCGGGTTTTTTACGTTATTCACATTCTCATGCGGAGAGCAAGTTCGTCTGCTTCTTTTGCAGGGGTTGCGGAGACGTCAGAACGCCGAGTTCTGACTGGTTCTGATGGAAGGATAGTGGGTAGACCTCAAGGCAGCTTGCTTCAAGGTCTACCCACTGGATCTCAGATCAGAGCCAATCAAAGCTCGGCGCCTTGTGTCTTCGTCTTCTTACCTTGTCCTAGTCTTTCGGCGCTTGTCTTTTTCCATTATGAACCAACTGGCCCAACTCACCATTTTGTTGCAAAGCTCGGCGTTCTGACGTCACCGCAACCCCTGCAAAAGAAGCAGACGACTTGCTTTCCGCATTGGTTTGGGAGCCACAGCAAACAAACGGTAAGCCTCAGAACGTTAGTGTATGACAATAAAAGTTTATAAGACATTCAGATTTTTTTTCTCCCAAGCGAAAAAAAGGTGTGATTTCGTGTACCGTCCTAATTCTATAATAATGTTAATATTTAGATAATTTTGAGGGTGAAAACAGCAGTATCTAAAGTTTGATCAGTGTGGAAACAACCAACAACGAGCCAACGATGCGTTAAAGCAAGTAGGCAGGAGAGCTGGTTAAGGATAGACATAGTCACCCTGGAGCCTGAAGACAAAAGGGACGGACAGACACGGTCTGTCCGTCCCTTTTTGTCTTCTAGCTCCAGGGTTATTATGTTGACTATCGGTGTTCGACTTTGAAGACGCCGAGGGCCGCAGAAAGTGCATGACACCCCCAAAGCGGGTCCTTTTACTCACTTTAGTGCATGCAATTTAGCGTATAACTGTTCAAGATAATGTGGTCTATTAAACCGCAAAGTTAAACGAAGAAATAAACCTACGTGATTGGTGGATGTAATGACACGTTTTTAAATGAAGCTGCATAATGGATGTGATGACACGATGGATCTGATGACACGATGGATGTAACGGCACGACGGATGTGACACGCTTTTGGACGAAGTTGCTCGGTGGATGTGATGGCCCGGTGGATGTAATGGCACGATGGATGTAACCGCATGATGAATGTAATGACCAGTTGGATGAACTGGCCAAAAATGGATGTAATGGCACGATGGATGTGCTGTCACTATTGATGTACGGGCACGATGGATGTAATGATATTAAATTGGACGTAATTGCTCGATGGATGTAATGGCACGATGGATGTGTTGCCCCCAAGCCGTTGAACCTCTACCCCACAACAACCAAATTGCGCTCCGTGTTAGTGTGGGTGCCTACTTCCAAGCGCCGCATTGCGCACACCACGAACGTTTAAGCTCTTTGTCACATCGCCGTATTGCATTAAACAGTACTAGATTGCCGAAGTCAACGCAGCGCTGTCGTGAACGTTGGCTTGTGGTTGCGCACTCGTGGATTCTTTGACTCCCTTCGCTTTCCAAGCACAGACGACGATTATGAATGATGCTTTCCGTCGTCCGGGAACATCACAATGGCACTTCTCCGGTCATGTCTTCGCTATGTGCTCGCAAACCCCGCGGGAGTTTCAAATGTGGAGAGTTTCTGAGTCCGAAAAAATTACGTCCAGTGGCGTAAATATTTATAATTTTTTTTTTTCGGGGAACATTTTTTTTGTGACATGCTTGTCCCACGTAGGCTGTTTTACAAAAAAAAAATTTTTCTTTGCAGTTATGCTTTAAACGTGGCAAAGCTGGAGTCTGCTTTCTATAAAAAAAAAAACAATATTTGTATCAGAGGTCTACAACTATGGTCTGAAAAGAAAAGGACCATTTCATGTTCCTCGTAGAAATACCCGGTCATTACGATCACCGCAAAAGTAACGTCAGGGTCAATTTGATTTTCATATTTACAGAGATGTCTTTTTTTCTAATTTTTAAACTAATCTTTTTAGGGGATTTACCGCTTATTGGGATATTTGATAAAATCGCAATGATAGGCCCGGGGTGTCATAAAAAAGTGCATGAAAAAGTGCATGAACGTTTTAGATTGTTAAGAAAACACTAAAAAGATTATCATTAAACACGGATCACAAAATTGAATAAAATCATTGAAATTGATTGTGGAGACAGAAAGACGTTTGCGGGTATAAACAAATTATCGCATCTCCACGTGGCGAATGATGCTGATTGGGGCGAAGCTCGGGTGGTGCTGATGATATTGATTTTAGTCATAAGTAATGATGATTGTGCCGTTTTCATTCATGACAGTAGGAGAATGTGTGGTTTTCATCTTTTTCTTTTTTTAAGAAGAAAGATGGGATGGCAACTCAGAACCCCGTACTCTTTTTTTTTCCCTTTTTCTTGATACTGATGTTGGTCATACGTAGTGCTGATGGTGCCGTTTTCATTCATGTCAGTAGAAGATTGTGTGCTTTTTTTTTTCTTTTTCTTTTTGTAAGAAGACAGATGGAATGGCAACTCAGAACCCCCTACTCATTCTTTTCTTTTTTTTCTTGATATTGATTTTAGTCATAGGTAGTGCTGATGGTGCCGTTTTCATTCATTTCCGTAGAAAAATGTGTGGATTTCTTTTTCTTTTTTTAAGAAGACAGATGGTATGGCATCTCAGAGCCCCCTATTTTTTTTTATTTTTTTTTTGCCCTTCTTGCTGAATTCACGAGCAGGGGCACGGCAGACGGCGGACGAACATACGGACATGGCTAGCCCCTAAGGAGCTTCGCCCCTAAAGGTTTATCACCAAAATTATCAAAGAAAAAAAGAGCTGCTACAAATCCATCCTGCTGTCGCTGTGATCGCAGCCAGTCTCGCCGTTCGGGCAGGGCTCGTGTTCCGTGTCTGGTACACGCCACGGCGTGCGTCACGCTGCGTTGGATCACTGTCACGCATCTTGGCGTGGCAGGCATTCCTGTAGCTATCGCTCGTCCGCTACAAGATGACACCAGGCGCACCTTCCGCCTACGCCAAGAAAATTTCATGACACGTCTCCAACAGCGGATTTGCGATACGCTCGCAGTAAAACATGCGTAAAACAAAACTTAGGGCCGGAATTAGAGTTGGAGAAGAATGATTCGGACGTTGCAATGACCTGCAACTCCAGGCATTGTGAGGGGAAAAACCCAAGCTGCAAAAAGGGCTTTTTCCTCGTTGGTTTGTTTGGACTGCAACTATATAAGAGCTTTGGACTCCTGTTAGACACCACGGCCCCCTTTGCGTAGAGCTGTACGAAGGTGAGTAGGGTCGCTCACTGATAGAGGTACTGCTTCTCACTCTTTTCTTCGTTTTTTTTAATTCATGCCTATTCTTGTTGTTTATTAAACAAAAAAAAACGTGTAAGAGTAATGTTGCGGGCTAACATGAATTTCAACTAAAAATGTAATCAGGAGCCCTACTTCATACAAAGAAAAAGAAACTTACTTGCTTGCTAGAAAAAAAAAAACAGCAACAGATAAAATAGCTTTAACTTACACTGCTGCCTCGTAAGCCTAATGCTGTTAATTATTAGACAAAATAAGGTGGAAACTAAAAATAGATATATTGTTAATTTAATTCAGAACTAGCAGTTTAATTGCGCAAATTTTTAAGTTATTTTCGTGTTACGATAAAAGCAATTTTAACAATCATAAATATTTTTGTTGGTGACGCAGCACACAGGCCAAGTAGAACACCGCATCATAAACCTTGAAATCATGAAGGTCATTCCTGTTGCCTTGATCGCCCTTCTCGTTGCTGGTGAGTGAATTTTTGGTAGTTATTCACTAAAATCTTAAACTGTGAACTCGGAAGCTGCTTCTTGACCTCTGACTTATGAACCCTATGAACTAATGTCCCGCATGTTTTTACCTTTTTCAGGAGCGTTTATGGCTTCCAGCGCACAAGAGGAAGCAAACCAAGTGGCTCATGTTCGAGTTCGTGAGTAACACCACCCCAAATATTTGTCCCTGTAAACACATTAAGAAAAGTACAGTAATTTTTAGGCCAGAAGGGGCTAATAGCATGCGATGTTGTTGCAAGCATTTTGATCCAACTAAGGTCCGGAATTTTCCACTTATCCACGCGGTATGTTCTATGCCAGGGGTGGCCAAACCGCGGCTCGCGAGCCGCATGCGGCTCTTTGCTGGCCACGGTGCGGCTCGCCGATCCCTCGTAAGAGAACCCCCCCCCCCCCTTCCCCCCACGTCCCTTTCCGCGTTTCCCCAGGAAAATAGAAATTATTTCAGAATAAAGAACAGCTTGCGGTTCGGAAGCGTTGTGCCCCCAAACGTACATTCGAATCGCTTTTCACTCGTATGTTTCCACAGATCCTGTTTCTTTCATTGTCCAAGGGAGTTTTACCGCGAAGTCATGCGGTTTAGAGAAGCTCGTTTTAACGAACGCCGTTTTACCGACCCCAGTTTATCGAATTGCTTTATAGAGAAACCCAGTTTAGAGAAAATGGCGATGAGCCTCCTTTTAGCCAATTCGGCCGCCGCGAAGCGGCGTGTGCGGATAAGTCAGGTGAGTTAACATTTTTGTAATGAGTTGCCGCAGACTGCCGCCGCCAAGCGGCGAGAGCGCAGCGGGGGCTTGGGTTAACACGCGCACCAGTGATACACGCGCGAAGTAGAAAACCTTTTTTTTTTAAATCGCGTCACCTTTTCGATAAACGGCATTTCTCTAAACTGAGGCTCTGCTTTCTCTAAACTGTGCTTCGATAATACGTGCCCATTCTCTAAAACGTGCTTCGACGAAATGGCATTCTATCAACCGTAGTAAACCCGTTTCCCGGACCTTAGGGGGAAAGGCATCAAGGACAGGGACTGTCAAATCATGCATGCGCTTTGGCTCGAGGTTGAGGAAATGTTCGGTCTCGCGGCCTTTGTCAATCGCCGGGGATACTTGTCCCCTTTAGGTAACGGATGTTCCCTCCATATCGTTTCTTGTTGAAGGTCGGGGAAGCCCGGGCTGACCTCATTCATAGCTTCCACTAGTCACAAAAGTTATGCTCAAGTTCACAAAGGATCAGGTACATTCCTATTGTTGATTTTACCGGCTTTCAGTTGTGACCCACAGGCTGCTTTTTTATGCTTTCGGGGGAGGGGGGGGGGGGGGGGGGGGATAACCAGGTGGCAGCGGTGTTTGTTTCGCCCCCCCCCCCCCCCCCTCTTTTTGGCGGCTCTCAGAAGTTTCGTGGCCTATTTTGCGGCTCTTAGGCCCGGTCAGCTTGGCCACCCCTGTTCTATGCTATGTAGCAATAAAACCTCAAAAATCTTTTTGAGCTCTTATCACCGAGACAAAGAATACCGAATCAATTGGCTTTGCGCATGCGTGGATTTTAATATTCCGCAAATGTTCCGACCATGTGCTATGCCGCTCTCAGCATGCGCGGAAGGCTACCACACAGAGAGCTACTGCTGTTTTTCGAAACGCCTTTCAGATCCCAGTAGACAAAGCTGGCCGCACGCCGAAATCTATCATTGGAATGACTTACGCGTCTCCCCACACCAAACTCAGATGGCAGCCACCCGATTCGCCACAGCGTCTGCATTAGGCAGCCACGTTAAGGACTTCAAAGGATTCATCTTCAAAGTGTGCGTGCACGAGTTCATGCAGGTCCGATAGCCAAACGTTCAGAGGTACTCAAGGGGCCAACAACCGTGACGGAAACACTTCAAAGGAAAAAGTTTTCGTCCTTTCTTCATCGCCGAATATGTTTGAACTGAACCAAATGAGGGACATTTGTGGAAGTTTATGTCACAGAGCTTTCCAGTCTGTGCGTCATTCGAATATCCCCCACGCCGTACGACACACTATTTTCGCCATTTTATGTTCATAGCTTTCTCGATTAACTCAAAGCGATTTGTTGAATCATCAAATCAAAATAAGCCAGTTATCATTTCACAAGTATAACTCACCATGACAATATAAAAAAAAAGAAAACAGGCCGCGTCTATATCACAGCCATTATGTGAATAGACTGAATTGTGAATCTAGTTTTGTAGTATCACGCGAGTACGTTTTATTTTTTTTTTTGTATTGAGGCACAACGTATTATTACATATATCTCAAGTATTTATGAACTGTTACTTGGGCCGCACTTGTGGGCTTGGTCGAGTCTTCATAAGTGAACTAAAAAGTGCTCATGCAACACCCTATAGAATAACGGAGGCCTCCGAACGCTCGACTCTTTATCCATGGAAGGTCACCACCGCCCGATGGCGCAAACTCGGTCATTGGACCCGAGCCCTATGCCAAGCGTACTTCAGCGCGTTGATTGGAGACGAGGCCCAACCGAGCGATGACGCAGTACTCGTGTCCAATTCCTATATTCGCTCGCTCTGATTGTGATGACGTCGAAATCCTCGTGTGCAGGCTTTGATTATTCTAGTTGGGGTTGGTTCAGGTCGGTAGCCTCTCAGAAACGTGAGGGAGCAGCTTGCAGTCATAGGCAAACATGGAAAAAAGATTAAAGATATTTTTGTCATTAAATTTTTAATCTAGGGTGGAACAAAGTTTAGTCAAGGAAAATATATTTATTATAAATCAGGCTTATTTCATTTATATTGTATTTATTTGACTTAAATCACTGTAGTTAGAAATTAGTGATTCTTTACCGCCAGATTTTTTTTAACATGGCAGGTCGTTTGATCATCCTTTGGATCACTGATAACAATGGGGAAGAAGAAATTACAGTAAATGTTAAGTAACAGCTTGATTTCTTTAGTTATTTATAAAAAGTGCCATTTATTGATTTTGTTCAAGTTTTGAGTTGATCAAAATCAGACATTAAATTCCTAGTTTTTGTTTCTTACTTTATTCCTCCGGATTTTGTGGCAATTGGACGTTACGCACTTCATTTTGCTCGTCTTCATTCTTATAGAAATGTTTCTATGTGAAGCGACACCAATCGCTGGTAATATTGCCAAAATTAATTAAACGGATGCGACTGACTGGTGTTTTATGTAGCTCGTTCAATATACGTGTGCGAGCTTTCTAAAATGTAATATTTTTGCTGATTCGATATAAATGTGTTTTTGCAGGACGTGGTTTCGGATGTCCCTTGGACCAAGGGGCGTGTCACAGGCACTGCCAGAGCGTCGGACGACGCGGAGGTTACTGCGCGGGATTTCTGAAGCTGACGTGCACATGCTACCACAACTAGAAAAACAACGACGCTGCTATACCACCCCAAATGTGAGGAGGCATTCGACTTTGATACGTTAGACACGAATCAATGTGCTTTTCGGTAGACTGTGAGCTTATTTGCGGGGATGTTCTTCTCTCAGAAACACATCTACTTCTGTAACCGCGTGTTTACCGTCCTTGCGATGGCCTTTCAATAAACTCCTTACTTTGCTTCACAATCTGTCTTTATTATTGTAGTTAATTGAACGCAAAGCTATTACATTTTCACTGGCAATTTTTTTTTTTTTTTTGCGTGTAGTACACGATACGGCGTCATAAATTAGACCCCCCCCCCCCCAAAAAAAAAAAAAAAAAAAAGAAAAAGAAAATTCGGCCGTAGTGGTGAAAAGAAAACCCAGCATGGGCGTTTCTGGCGCCATAAACCTTTGAGAACGAGATTAGATAGGCCAGGTGTGAATTCATGTACAAGGGGTTGGGCAGAATTACTACGCCGCGCGTCTAAGCAAGACATACATTGGCAATCCCGAACGAAATAGGCAACAAGAAATGAAAAACAACAATAAAGACAACGAACAACAGTACGATTATTAAAAAACGTTTAAATGGGCCGTGTGTCAATAAAGAACCCAATGCGAGCATCACTCTCTGAATATATATGGGTGTTTTCATCTCAAATCGTGCAGGCAAAAAGGGTCGAATTTTTAATTTCGCTGAAAAAAATGTATGTTATGGCGCCGTCTCTAAAAACGCAGTAGCCTATTGCAAGTTCGTCGGATTTTTGTTCTCGAGTTACGAATTCTAAAAGAGGCCGCGGCGGGAAGCAGTGTTTTTCACATCTGTCGCGGGTCGGATGTTTCGCTCGATCTCCCGCTGTGGGTTTTCAGTCCAAATTATATTAACTTTCTTCAAGCACTCTGTGAGCACATTTAAAACGCTGTAATGCAATGAAATAATTTTAGACGTTTTTGTGTTTTTTTTCTGTAAAAATGGCAGTTACGCCACATCGGTTAATTGTTAACAAAATTTTACAATTAAATACTGGCGATCTATTTGGGTTACTTAAATATGTTTTATGTCTACGGAGAGCCCAAGGCACGCTCTTTATATATATTATATGATGACTCAGCTGTATGAAATATCCTTTTCGAGACGTTTACGTCAATATTATGCGAAAACCAACAAGTACAAATTTTCAAATTAATTTTCTCAAAAACCCATCTTTATTTTTTTAATCTGTTGTTAAAATGCGTATATGATAGTTGTCTACTCGAAAATTAAGTTAAGAAAGTGTTATTTTGTTTGTATGTTCTATAGTTAAGCCTCAATATCGGAAAACAAAGTGTTCGTTTTGCAAGTCCTAAGTCAGTCATGGCGACCCGTGCGTTTCTATGAACTGTAAAAAAACTTTTCTTGAATTTTCGTTTGAATTTTTTAGTCAATTATAAAGGTATTTTGTGGTATTGAATAGTTACTTATGTTTTGATAGGAGCGGGAAACCGCGAGAAACATATCCAACCAAATCAGCAGGCCTAGTAGACCATAAATATCCAATAGGCACAGATATTGTATTGTTTCGATTTATAAACCTTTCACTGTGAACTAGCATGACTAGCTATTACCTGTCATATTACTAAGACATAGGAAGTCACCACATCATTGATATATTATATATACAATTATTTTCAAAACCAAACGCTAGGGTTTGTTCACCGAACATCGCACAGATCACCAGGGAATGTCCTTTCATTTCCTTAATACACTAAAGTTATGACACAGAAAGAATCCGAAACACACGGAGAGAGTGTCACGGAGAGGGACAGGAATAAAAATAAATAAATAAGTATAAAATTACCCAACTCCGTTCTTAACAAAAATTGCGTTAAAAAAATTAAAAAATTGGGTTTGAGCGGTGGCAAGGTGATAGGTTCATGCCTGGTGGAGAGTCTAACAAAAAAGTTGACAAAATGTAAAGCTAAAAAAAAAAAAAAAATTAATAAAGACGGAAAAACTCAGCCGCAAATGGCAAGAACAAAAACCAACTCCTCCGGGCATTCCATAAACGGGATACAACCAAATGCGTGGGAACACGCTCTCTACAGCACCATCAGGCCGCTACGCCAAGACGAAATAAACCCAACAACTAAACAGTGCTAGCAAAACAGTGACTAAAAAAACATAAAAAAGAAAATGAAAACGTTCAACACAACCGCATCCGAGAAACAAAGTTCAGCTGGGCAAAGAATCACACACGAAATAAAAAAAAAAAAAAGTCTTAACTGACCGACGCCGAGTCCAGTCCCACGACAGTGAAGCCTGACAGGATGACGGCGTCCAGATGACGCACGAATCTGTTCTTCACTCTATTACGTACATCCACGACTTCTGTGCGAAACAGTGGCTGAGCGGAGCAAAGTGAAGAATAGATTCGAGCAGCGATGGTACGAGAACGTAACCGAGACGTAACGTGCCTCGAGTTTCGTATCGAGAGAGAAGCTTTCGAGGTAGTTACTGCAGTTACTCAAACTTTCTCTTTCTCCTTCCCTTTTTCAAAAGAACGCGTCAGCCGGCGCTAACTTTTCATCTCGGGAGAATGCCACTCTTCACAAGCGGCTATTCGCGACTCCAGCAAAACAGACGCCACCAAGCGGGAAAACCGGGAAACAGCCGGACCAGGTCGTTCCGCGCCCCTCCGCGTCTCTGGTGGCTGGCTTTCGCGGACACGTGTTGTCGGCGCGGTAGCGAACAGTGTAATTTCACGAAGGTCCGAAAATTTCTGAAGTTTGCCTGAGTGTTCATTAGTGTAGGGAAGCCTCAGTAGATTGCTTCCTTCCATCACGTGTTTGAAAGCCCGTTTTCTCCCCAGCACACGGTCGCGTGCTTTAGATTTCTTGGATGGAAAGGAATCACGGAAAAAGGTTTTGATTACTTGTCTGTCTCTAATCACATTCAAAGTGACGACTACTTGGTAACTGATAAGTGTATTTTTTATGCGGATGTAGAACAGTGGACTAAGGACGACAGACGAAGCGTTCCACTGTAGGGAACACCAATGTTGCAGTCAAGTGAATGGGAAGGTTCGACAGCGGCTGTTCTTGAGTTTAGTTATGTTTAATTAGATTCAAGTTTGAGCCACCCACGCCGGTCGGTGCGTTGGCTATTCATCTTGGCTGCTTTTCGCCGAAAAAGATTCTGGACCACACTGAAGGAGTTTGGGCTGATTTCGCAATTACTTGATTCAGGAAAACCTGCTCGCTGCAAATGATGAATGAGGGAAATGATCTGTTTTCAAAAGGTGGGGACGAGTCTCGCAACGTTAGAAGCCGTCACGGCATTTCGATCTATCGCGCCTCCAATATTTATATCACACCCCCGTCCAAGCCAGCAGTCTACAACGCTCAAACTGACCGGCCAAAAAAAAAAAAAAAAAAATTAAATTTTTTTGTTTTGGATTTTAAGCAAAGTTCAATGCAGAGAGGTTCTGCGTGAATCTCCGATGAAGACTATCTCCAGTTTGTCTCCGTGCTGCCGGCTAGAACCATTTGGCTAAGTTTCAGTAGTATCTTTCTGTCTGGCAAATATACCTTTATTCAGCAGTTCACCTAATAGCAAGACAACTAAGCTCATATTTCAACCCGAAGAATATACTAATATCGCTTTAGTGGGACCCCCCTCCCCCCCCCCTCCCCCATAGTACGTAATATAATACATAACCCGCTCGTCAAAATGACTTCTCGATTGCTAGTAAAACCTGAATTGGAATACGACTATCAGCTGCTTAGTGGGGCTTCGGCGAGTTAACATGGTCCTCAGCAGAAGCGCTTGCTTAATTTTTTTAATTTTCCTGCAGCCTGTGTTAGATTGATTGAATTTGGTGGTCGCATCGATACCTTAGAAAACGGCCCATGACCACGGAAAAGAGAGTGAGCGAGACTCGAACCGGCCAGTTCTTGATCGGCGGTTTTCGGGCGGAAAGAAACCGAATTTCGAATCGCAAATTGTGTTCTGGGTAGTTGGGCTCTCATGTGTCACGTACAACTAAAAATCTCGGCGAGCATAAACACCCTGTCAGTGTCCCTTTTAACGCGGATACGCAGAAAAGCTCGATTTCGCGGTCAGATAAGTCGCATGGTCGAGGCATGCGAGTTAGCTGAACATTACTCTCGGTGGAACAATTCTCTAGTCATCGCAGCTTTTCTTAGATGATCAAAACGGATTAGTATCTTACCGTCTCTCCGGAACCCGTAGTTTTGGTTTTGAACGAAATCTCCGAAACGAAAGTTTGACATGAAAAGAACAAAAAACACCCGGAAAACAAAACTATGCTTTGCAAGCTTATGTGCGCCGGCATAACTTAACCGTCTCAGTTCAAATACCTATAAAATTGGACATTAAACAAAAGAAAACCTGTTAAATTAAACGCGCCACCTGTTCAGGCGGCCCGGTTGAGCCGACGCGACCTGGACTCAGCCGCCATTTTTGTTTGGTGGTGGCGCGCCCTATAGGTCGCTGGAGTCGCGAATAGGCTACGTTTACATGGATGCGATAGCAGCGCATCGGATCCAGTTCAGTAGCGAATCGGATCCACTTCAACCACTACGTTTACATGGATTCGGATCGACCAGTAGCGGCACCTGGTGTCGAAGGATCACAACGCAGACCTCGTGACCTTCAGATTGTTTCCGAGGTGTCCGGTTTGCCTAGCGGCATGCAAAGCAAAGCTCCCGTAATCCCTCGCTCGAGCACTCGATGCGATCCGCTAGCGTATACAACATGGAGAGTCTCGATTTGAATCGACCATCTAAAACCACCCCGCCCCAGCGGATCGGATCGGATGCGATCTGATTCGATCCGAGCTGTTCACATGGACCGATTCGATTCGTTAACTGGATCCGATGTGCTGCAATCGCATCCATGTAAGCATAGCCATTGTTGACAAGGAGGCTGACTTCGACTCAACTAGTCCCCGGGCAGAATAAACACAAGTATATTTACCAACACTCGTTTTTTTTTAATGTCAGTCTCCGGGCCTTGCTGTTTCCAAAAGAGAGATAGAGCGCGGCCGTTCTAAGGGATAGGGCGCTCGAAGCCTATGCAAATACGTGGTATCGTGCACGGATGGCTGGTTTCAAAATTTCCCAAACATCCCTAACAAAAACGGCCCATCTTTGTGTGTGAGTCTGCAGGATTTTTGTCACGCACCGCCGGTTTTAGCGCGCACGCGGCGTTGTTTTGGCCGGCAGAACTGTTGTTGGCCGTCAGTATTGTAAGGCCGTGGTGTCCTCATCCTTTCAGGAAACAATTCCTTTGCTTTCCCTTGTGCAATACTCTGACTGACTGACTCCTTCTGCTTGACCGTCACTGTTCGCCGCGTCAACGACACATTCGTGCCATTTCACTTCTCGTGACAGAGGGTGTGCTGCTCGCTTTACTGTCACCGGCCGTCCTATCTAACACAACGAGCGCGAAAGGTCGTGGTCATCTGCTGGTTCCGAAAGGGCGGGACGTTCATATAGGCCAACGAAGGCCCCGAATCAATACGACGTCTGCCGATTTCTATACATTAAAAATTTACGACGCCTACTGCTCTGTTAACAAGGGTTGCTTTCCCTTTTGAACTCCTCCAATGTAGCTTGCCGCCTATAATAAAATTTAAATATTCAATAAATATAACAAGGTGTAACTACTGTATTTCATTTCAAAATTACTATATTTCATTTTATTTCAAAAAAGCCAAAAATATTTCCAAGTTTGTGAAGACGCGCAATTCGCAAGTCTCTTTCGAGCCGTAAAGACACGTTTTTGTGCGATATTCATGCTTAAATATGACACATACAAACAAAATAAACACTTTCTCGACTTACTTTTCGTGTAGTGAACTATCATATCTACATTTTAACAAAAAATGAAAAACGTAAACGCCCTGAAAAAGATACTTCATACAGCTGAGTCATTTTATATTAAAGAGCGTGTTTTGGGCTCTCCGTAGACACAAAAAATATTGATGTAGCCCAAGTACATGGCCAGTATTTAATTGTCAAATTTCGTCAACAATTGACCGCGTTTTGTCGTTTTTGACATTTTTACAAAAAACAAACGCCTAAAATTATTTCATGGTGCTAGAGACTTTTAGCTGTGCTAAGAGAGTGCTTGAAAAAAGTTATTATAATATGGACAGAAAATACACGGCGGGGGATCGAGCGAAACATCCGACCCACGACGGATGTGAAAAACACTGCTTTCCCCCGCAGGCTCTTTTAAAATTCCCAAGTCGAGAACGAAAAATCCGACGAGCTTGCGGTTTGTGGTACTGCTTTTCTAGAGACGACGCCATAACATATATTTTTTCAGCGAACTTAAAAACTAAAACCCAATTTTTGCCTGCACGATTTGATTTGAAAACATCCATCTGCAATTCAGCAAAACGTCTATTTTTGCACTTTTTTTTCAAATAACATACCAAGAAATTTGCGTGTCTTTATAGGCCCCTAATTTGAAAGCTTTCAAAATAGATGCTGGTGATAAGCAATGAGGTAACGGATCATAAGTGCTAACAAATGAACAAATGCGACGCAGCTTAAGTATACATGCGCAGCTTGACAGCTCATCATAAGAGTCCGTGCTCAGTCACAAACTCGAACCCCTTTAGCAACATTACATTATGTAAAAATCAGCTATATGTAAATTGGAGCAGGAGTAGATATAGCATACAACATTACAGCTTTATGACATCTCGTCACATCTCGTTGTGTCAAATTTAGCGATCACTTCTGAAAGCTAAAAAAAAATATTTCATGAGATGCTATTCGCCATGGTCGCTGCCTGCATGAATTTGCAACAGCACGACAGCGCCATCTGAACTTGTACTGTACATTGCAATCACTATATGGTTTCATGAGGCCATTTTTCCAAGTCAACGTTACTATAGATTATCTGAGCTTTTTGGAATTCCCTTGGAGGGGTACCCCCTTCCCTCCTTCATTCCGCCACCCATCGTTTAAAAGCACTATCAACATTCTTGTTTCCAAACTATGTTCCATAGAGGACGGTGGAACACCATCTAGGCGACGTGCTTCGAAATATACGAATTGCATATAATCCACTGCAGTTACCATCGCAGCCGCCGCCTTAAAACGATAAGACTGCTCACCACAAGAAAGATTCAGTTCAGGCTGAATAACGTTACAGCTCACCACAAGAAAAAACACTCACAAGCACACACACACTAGAAGAATATACTCATTTGCCGCCAAATGACTATATATTTTTTAGTGTGTCTGTGTTTGTGAGGTTTCTGTTGGGGTGCGGCTCTAACGTCATTCAGCCTTAAAACGGTGGCGCCTTGAACGACGGGAGGCGAACAGAAAGGAGCGACCGTGGGGCATATTTGGACCTGCTAGGCGATAGGACGCATAGCGACGGCAGCCGCTATGAATACCATCTCGGTGAGTTGGCAGCGTCCATCTAGACTTCGTTTCAGCTTACGGCCAGACGCAGCTGACGCCACTAGCTAATAGGAGCAATCAAGTACGGTCAAAAGCGCAAGCCAATGTGGCTTTGTTGTTTATGATATTTCGGCGATGGTAAAACACGTACAGAAACATGGCGGACGCCGTGCTTCTAGTGTGCCTTTGACGTTGTCTCCTGGGTCCCATCAGCTGCTAGCGTGGGCTGCTTCTGGACTTCTTGTGAAACTAAGTATATGAGTATACTTTCAGCCCTCGTGCTGCGTACCTGAGTATGAAATAATCACGCCGGGCGAGATAGCGCCTTGATCTAGTCAACCATCTGTCAACGACTGGGGAATTCCGAGTAACTGGAAATTGTTGCGTGGGAGTTCATATCTGCCCGGACGCGTGATACCTTCAACATATCTGTTACATGGGAAACCCCAGGTTCGGCTACTGGCAACGCTCCCCATATTTTCGGACGCAGCTACGGGTATAAAAAGCGCACTGACGCTTAGAGCACCTACAAGCCTTTTCGCCTCGGCACACTGCGAAGGTAAGCCAATTTTTGTATAACTTAACCTCTGATTGAGCGATATCCCTTTTTTATACAAAAAGGGCCATATTTATCAAATACGTAAGTTATGAATGCCTTCGTTTTGGTTTCGTGTGTAAATGTCCCATTTATCAAATATTATCGGGCGCTCTGTGTAAGCAGAAATATGTATCGCAGTTGGTTTACGTTTTAGTGAAGCGATACTTTTTACCAGATGAAAGTGTATATATTTAATTATATTTTATAGGATTATAATAAAATTAAAATAGATATATTGTTTATTTAATGATCAGCTAGCAGTTTAATCACGCATATTTTTAAGAGTTTTTTGTGTGATGATTAGAACAATTTTAACAGTCATCAATATTTTTTTTTGATGAGGCAGAACACTGGTGAAGTAGACCACTGCATCATCAACCTTGAAATCATGAGGGTCATTGCTGTTACCTTGATCGCCCTTCTCGTTGCTGGTGAGTGAAGTTTTGGTAATTGTTCATTAAAATCTCAAACTGGGAACTCGGAAGCTGCTTTTTGAGCTCTGAGTTATGAACCATATAAACTAATGTTCCGCATGTTTCTAACTTTTTTCAGGAGCGTTTATGACTTCCAGCGCACAAGAGGAAGAAAACCAAGTGGCTCACGTTCGAGTTCGTGAGTAACGCCAACCCAAATATTTGTATCAGTAAAAACATCAAGAAAAGTACAGCAATCTTTAGGCAAGAAGGGGATAATAGTTAGTTTTGTGATGTTGTTGCAAGTATTTTGACCCGACTAAGCTCCAGAATTTTCCACAAAGAGTAATACAACACGCCCTTTGTGCTATGCTATGTAGTATTGTAACCTCAAAAATCTTTTTGAGCGCTTATCACCGAGACAGAGAAAACCGAATAAATTGGCTGTGCGCATGCGCACGTTTTAATATTCCGCCAATGTTCCACCCATGAGCTATGCCGCTCTCAGCATGCGTGGAAGGCTACCACACAAAGAGCTACTACATTTTTTCAAAATGCCTTTCAGATCCTAGTAGACAAAGCTGGCCGCACGCAGATATCTATTATTGGAATGATCTACGTTTCTCCGCACACAAAATCAGATAGCAACCAACCAATTTGCCGCAGCGATTGCCTTAAGCAGTAACGTTAAGGACTTTAAAGGATTCATCTTCAAAGTGTGCGTGCACGAGCCCACGCAGGTCCGATTGCCAAACGTTCAAAGCTACTCAAGCAGCCAACAACAGTGACGGAAACACTTCAAAGCAAGGCGTTTTCGTCCTTTCTTCATCGGCGAATATGTTTCAACTTAATAAAATGTGGAACATTTGTGGAAGTTTAAGCCAAAGAGCTTTCCTGCCTGTGCGTCATCCGAATATCCCCTCAGCCCCAGGCCCCCCTATTTTCGCCATTTTATTTATGTTCACAGTTTTCTCAATTTAAATGACTCTATTTAGAAATTAGTTATTATTCACCACTAGATTTTTTTGCAACATGACAGCTTGATCAATCATCCTTTGGATCACTGATAACAATCCGGAAAAAGGAATTACAGTAAACGTTGACTATAGTTTTATTAAGAAGTTCTCACTGCAGCAATCCCCGCCGCACTATAACAGAAACCTTTTGATTTTTATTTAGTTTTTTATAAAAAGGGACATTTGATTTTGTTCGAGTTTGAAGCTGATTGCAATATGAGATTTGTTTTCTAGTTTTTGTTTTTTACTTATCCCTTCGGATTTTTGGCAATTGGACGTTTCTTGGTTCACGAACGAAGTGGAAGGTAGAGATCAAGCTCAATGCTTCTTTTTCCTCGGAACGGCACTTCATTTTGCTCGTGTTCATTCTGATAGAAATCATCTTGCTTGATTATCATTTTATTTGAGTACAACACGCATGCACATCGAAATAATCAAATAATAAGTGAACGGTTAATTAAAAGAATTTTCGGATTTTATATAATAATAAAAATATGTCTCTATTATATTCTTATTAAGTTATATTCTACACCCTGCTCTATACCAATTGCGGTGCGCCAACAATCGCTTTTTATATTGACGAAATAGATTAAACTTATGCGAATGATTTGTGTTTTATACATCTCGTAAACTATACGTGTACCAGCTTTTTAAACTGTAAGGTTTGTGCTAATTCGATATAAATGTGTTTTTTTTTTTTAGGACGTGGGTTTGGATGTCCCTTGGACCAAGGCGCCTGTCACAGGCACTGCCAGAGCGTCGGACGACGCGGAGGTTACTGCGGGGGATTTCTCAAGTTGACGTGCACATGCTACCACAACTAGAAAACACCGAAGCTAGTATGCCACCTCAAATGTGAGGAGGAATTCGACATTGATTCGTTAGACAGGAATCTATGGTGCTTTTCGGCAGACTGTGAGCTTATTTGCGGGGATGTTCTTGTCTCGGAAGCACATCGACTTCTGTAACCGCGTATTTACCGTCCTTGCGATGGCCGTTCAATAAACTCCTACCTTGCTTCGTAATGGGTCTTCATTATTGTATGTTATTGAACACAAAGATATTAACATTGTCTCCGGTAATTCTGTTTGCCTTTTTTGCCTGTAGAACAGGATGCGGCGTCATAAATTAGCCCCCCGAAAAAGACATCGGCCCGTAGTGGGGAAAAGAAAACCCGCCACGGGCGTGTCTGGCGCGATGAACCGTTGGGAACGAGATTTGATTGGCCAGCTCCGAATTTATGTACAAGCGGTTGGGCAGAATGAATACACCGCGCGTCTGTCCGAAGCCGGACAGATATTGGCAATGCTGAACAAAACAGGCTACAATAAATAAAAAAACCACAATAAATACAAGAAACAACAGTACGAACAACAAAAAAAGTTTAAATGGCCGTGTATGAATGAAGAACACAATGTGAGCATCACACTATGAGTCTCAGTGAAAAAGGAGGATTATAAATTTCCGCGTATTCATCACAATAAAAACAAAAGAGCATACATATTCAAAGTGTAAAACGTCCGCAACGTTTTGAATTCTTCAATTATCAAATTTATTGTTTATATATATATATATTCAGTTCAGCTAGAGGGTTCTTTGTTTTTTCAAACAACAAACTAAGAAATTTGAGTGTCGTTATATGCCCTTAATTTCAAAGCTTTCAAAATAAATGCTGGTGATAATTAATCAAGTAACGGACCATAAGCTTAAACAAATGAACAAATGCGACGCAGCTTAAGTGTGTACATGCTCAGCTTGACGGCTCCTCATGAGAGTCCGGTCTCAGTCACAAGACTCGCCCCTTTCATGTATACTTGACATTACGCTAAAATACTGCCAGATGTAAGTTGGAGCAGGCGTAGATATAGCATTCAACATTACAGTGTCATGACACGGGTCACACTTCGTTGTTTTAAATTTAGCGATCACTTCTAAAATCTAAAAAAAAAAAAAAAAGAAACAAAAAATCTTTAGGGATGTGTCATTCGCTTACAATAAAATTTAAAGCACTGCATACTCCCGGTTACTCAAGTATCATCCTTCTCGAAACCTGCCGCTCTCGTTTCTCTTGGATTTCGGCGACGCGTCGCTATTTGTGTGTGTGTGTGTGTGTGTGTTTTGGTTAATGGCGCATCTTACTTGTGAACATGTGCTCCCCTTTTCGATCTGTCGTGGCCGCCGGCGACAGGGCAGGGTTTACAAGGTAGTTCTACAGCCAACAGGTCTGCAGTGGCCACTGGCGACGAACCGCGGCATATGAGGTGACGTCACGCCATTTTTGGCTCAAGGCCCTGCCATGATGCGCCACAAGGGCTTTAATAAACTTTGGTGTTTAGCACCGTGCAGACAATCTTTTCTTGTCTCTCTCTTTTTAGAGCTGGAAGTGTTAAAAAAAAAGACGTGCGGAAATAGGCGCTGCTATAGATAGAATGGCGACTCCGCCTTCACAAAGGTGGACGTCGTTATCAACCATTATCATATCAAAGTATGCGAAAAATGTTTATGAAGGAACTGCATCCATGTTCGTTAAAAAAAGAAAAAAGAAGAAATCTACCGTACAGAGAGAAGGCCTAGACACTGCGACTTTCGCGAAATAAACATCAGGCTCGTCCATGCTTCAACAATACCCATACGCTTCCTATTTTCAATGCGGACCTCAATTGGGGCCGCTTCGCTAGCTGTACGAATTTTATGAAATCGCTGTGATGAACCAACAGCGCACGCTTCGCGGGGACGTACGTGGAAAACCGCTTCGTACATCGTAAGCCCCAGGGTAACCAAACCCCCAAACATTAATTCTTAAAGCGTGGATCAAAATGTTAAGCGACTTGCCAATTGACTTTCCACAGACATTCCGCATGCACTCAGAATGTTTCACTGCACTTCTTCAAAAGCAGCCACGCGATATTCTTGTCGTAAAAAATGCACGAAATAAAATTGAAGGGCGAAGTTGCGACGGCGGCTGCTACTTCGGGGTCCGCAACAGTATTGCACAAATAATTCAAAGGGGGACAACCCTAACGGCAAACAAAGTTCTCTTTCTTGTTGCTTCCTTTCGACAGTCGTTATATAAGACTCTCGATCGTCGGTTGGACACGACGGCATCCTTTGCGTGCAGCACAGCAAAGGAGAGTGGTGTGGGAGTGCTAGCTGATAGTGGCGTAGTTTTTGGCTGGTTTCTCATTTTCTTTTTCAATCTCCATTATTGTTGTGTTTATTTTCTTTAGAACTAAAGTCGTGTTAGTCCTTCTTTGTCCAATGAAACTAAAGATTATTGTTCGCTTTATTAAAAGTAAATATAAGTAAACGTTCATTAATGCTGTTGCCTCTATTGAAAGTGTAGTTTGTTTTGATAAACGCAATGAGTTCAAAATCTAAATATATATATATATATAAGAAACTTTTTTTTATTGTGCACCAAGTAGTTTAAGGAAAGTCACTCCTAAGTGTGATTCTCTTGTTATGAATGAAGCAATTTTAACAATTATCATTACTTATGTCGGTGATGCAGAAAACAAGTCAAGTACCACAAAACATTATCAATCCTGAAATAATGAGAGTTGTTGCTGTTGCCTTGATCGCCCTCCTCATTGCTGGTAAGTCATTGTTTTTTTCACGTCAAATGATTTCGACGGTCGACTTAAGAAGGTTCCGACATCGATCCTCGGACCAGGCGGACTTTTTCAGCTGCCATCAGTCGCCTATGGGACGCAAGTTAGTTTGTTTCATTACGAGTAAAAACCAGTGAATCCTAGCGCAATGGCGAATCAGTTTGACTACTGTGAGCTCAAAAGTTGCATTTTGAGTGAGAAACGCTAAAAGTTAAGGTCCTAAGGGTACAAAGGTACTATAAATAAATGAAAATGTACAATCAAATAGTGTCCCAAAGAAGTTCTAGTTTGAAAGAATGCGGATGATTGCCCCCCCCCCCCCCCCCCCCCGTCCCTTTTCGGATTTTAATATAAAGTTAATTCACCGATTGCCTGTGTTTTTTCTCATTGATCGGGAACTAAAGTCCTATATCTTTCTAACACAGGCGCTTTCATGAGTTCCGCCGGACAAGAGAACGGACGTCAAGTTGCTCAGTTTTGAGTTCGTGACCAATATTACAAATATTGGTATAATGGACACGAACCTGCAGTAAGCTTTATGGCAGAATACGATTGCTGGTTTCGCAATTTTTGCAAATCAGATATTAGGATTTTTGCAAATCCTAATATGTCAAGCAGCAATCTTTTTTATGTGATTACGGAGGATTGATAACACTCCAGGCAGCAATACTTCGGCCATCATCCTGGGAACAAGATATGAAACCTATTGTCTTATTTTGTGCGACATATATGGCTAGCGTGTATATTTCCTTCTTAAAAACAGGAACGAAGGTCTGCCGATCTTTTCCAGCGTCCGCATAAAACAGCTGCTTTGACATTTCTTCCAATTACGTACACTATGGAAAAAAATCCAGTGTGTACAGTTTTCCGGAGTGATTTAGGGGGAACCAATTGCTGTCATCAAATGATCCTTCCTAGTACATCTATCGACGTTTGGCAAAAGAATTGCTCGAATGACAAGGCTGACATGTCTAGACCTAGAAAACACGGTCTGTGCCATGGCACTGTGCTTGAAATTTCAGCACGCGGAACTAATCGGTGGGACGCCAGTGGTTGACAAAACTAGTTAGGAGGACACCAGTGATTGGCATTTAGGATGGAGACAGTTCACATCTAGGGCAGTTTTGGAGTGCGGGCTTTGTACTGATTGGTTCTTGATTTTGTTCCACGACGTGGCTCTGGCTGTCTCTTCAACCAAGGAGCCTGAGACAGCCCCTGCAGGAACATCGGACGGCTCGGAGGCGCCAGGGTCTGCGAACAGACAGGAACGCGCAGCAAGCGATAGAAACGTTCTGCCGCATCCACCGTTCAGGATATAAGTGAAACGTGGAGCGCTACTGCTTTGGATCAGATTGAAAGTTCATTTACGTGGACGTCCTCCTCTTATAGACATGGCTGCAGCCATCTTATTGTGTTCGCAGTTATTCCAATATATTGCCGCGCGCAAGACCACGGACCTGTAGAAGGTTCTCGTTTATTCTTGCTGCGGACATAACTTCTATCGTTTATCCCTGCTCTCGTTTTTCTAGAAAGTGCATGTTCATTCTCGCCCCGAGCGCGCTACGCTCGAACCTTCTCCACCGAATCTTCGGGATGGTGACTCACTCTAGATAAGAGGCCGCCGGCGACTTTGTCGAGTCAGTCTCGCCCTAGCGTTCCACTCTGCTCTCTCTCGCCGACTTCGACGCCCGCGACGCTCTGCAGTTATATTTTGTTACCTTTTTATTTTTGGGCACAAGTTCGCCCTGATTAAACGTTTCAGTTTTGCCGGTTATTCTGTTTCCTCGCCCGTTCATTCGTGACAATATGTTCAACTAACGAATTGCATGGTGCAATATTGTTTCATTGCTGTAGTTCACTTTACTCAAATATGCTCCATGTTTTCTGACTCCCACTCGCCTTCGGAGTAAGCAGGTGTCCAAATTTATTCTGTGAACCTAGACCTTACTTTTTCGATTAATATTTTTTTCCTAGTTCTCTTTTGGCCATTCAATTGACTCGGCATGATACCATGGGACCTATTTATTTATTTTATCTACTGCCTGCCTTACTAGGAAAATACGCGTGGAAATGTTATATACACAAGTAATTGTACAGTTGAGAATCATTATACACAATTTTAAAGTAAGCAACACAAAACTGAAATAAAAGATACGAAACAAGCCTTAATTAGGCCAAACGCACAAAAAAGTAAAACTAAAATATTTGTTAACACAGGCACGCTACAGAGTGTAAATTTTGGAGCGACGGTGAAGAAATAGAAACCCAAATTTGAACGTAAAAGAAACTTTACTAGGTTGTGTTTGTTCACTTTTGTTCACTCGGTATTTTAATAGCACCCTGAAGGTGCTATTAATATACCGAGGAACCAATAAAGCTCCTGGATCAGTTTAATTCCTTTGGTACCCTCGACG